GTCAGCAGTTGTACCCTTGGAGGATATTCAGGTTGATAGCAACCTAAATTATATTGAGAGACCGGTTGCGATTTTGGATCGGAAGACAAAGACCCTGAGGAATAAGGTGGTTCAGCTAGTGAAGGTGCAGTGGCAGCACCGGAAGGGTTCAGAGTGGACATGGGAATCCGAGGAGGAGATGCAGGAGCATTATCCAGAATTGTTTTCAGATTCAGTAACAGCGGACTTCGACGACGAAGTCTGATTCAAGTAGGGGAGAATTGTAACGATCAACTGTTGAGGTATTAATTAATTTCATTTCTTGAATTTTAGTGGGCTATGATTGGTAATTGACATCTTGGATTGGATTGGACTTTCATGATTATTGGGCCAAGATGTAAGCTACCCATAAGCCGTACGTGGGGCGTAACCTGTCGTATGTGGGGCGTAGTGCCTTTAGTATGCGCGGGTTGTGAGAGGCGTACGCGCAACGTACGTAGAGGTACGCCCACCGTACGTGACCAGGTGGCAAAACCCTAATTTTAGGGTTTGAGACTGTTGGGCCAAAGTCTGTGGGCAGTCCGTTAGCAAACCTATCGATCTTAGAGAGTTCAATAGGCACCAAGTAGGGGAATAACTTCATCTACTTGGTGAATGCGGTGACATACTCATCCACACTCATCTTTCCTTTCTTCAGGTTATGAAATTCGTTGTTTAGGTCTATCAGATCTATCTCAGAGCAGTACTACATTTTCAACTGCTCCACGAATGCTTCCCAAGAAATTCACATGGCTTCTCCTCGTGGCATTGTATCTGCCAACAACTTCCACCAACTTAGCACTCCAGTCTTTAGTTGTCTGACTGCAAAGACGGTCTTTTGCCTGTCGTTACAGTCACAACTCTCAAACACCATCTCCATTTCGGAGATCCAGTCCATAAACTCAACCGACTTCGGGCTTCCGGAAAGGCTTGGTGGCTTGGAACCCAAGAAGTTCTTATACATTCGTCCATCCTTGTCGTTTCCCCTCTCCAGGCCATTCATTCGTTCTCCTTGAGTCCCAACTTGACTTACAGGGCGGCTATAGTTTCCTTCCTCCGATTGCTCGGGAATCAGCTAAGGTTGCTCAATGGGCATGGTAGGTTCGTCCCTATTTTCATGCAACATCCTCCTCATTTCTTCCCTTTGTTTAGATAACATAGCCCGAATCATGGCTTGTACTCCAGCCATGGTGATTGGTTCAGGTGAAGCTTCTACTACAACATGTATTTGTTCAATCACCAAGGGCTGTTGATTCCTATTTCCATTTGCGTTCCCGACTCCACTTTGGGTTCTTGCCATTTCGATCTATACACCAATTCAGACGTTCGGTGTGTAATGACGAGAATTAAGATATGAAAGATTTTATTTACAATCAACATGTAAATATCCCTATTACTCTGAAAAGTTACATGCCAGTTCTAATACCATATTTAAACGTTTAGAAGTCTAAACACGTAAAGTTTCCAGATTCGGTCGGCAACAGACCATAGATTAGAACATACATTTAGCATCATAAAGCATCATAAATCATTTAGCACATAAAATCATGTTAGATATTTTCCCTAAATAAGCTAGTGCTTGTGTCTGTTCAGGTGTATTACGAAAGACACACTCCACACAATCATTGCTTAGCATTCAAAGTTTAAGTCTAGAAATAAATTCATATTACTAGTTCGCTTAAACTAATGCTCTGATATCAATTGTGACATCCCCGTTTTCACGGCCAGAAAAGACCGATTTTGTTTATGCTTTATAAAAATCAGAGTACATCTTCTAATAAAAATGTTGCGGAATTTGTTCCCATTAAAACATTATAAATACGTTATCAAGGCATTTCCGAAGAAAAGTATTTTTTATTCATTTTAAAACATTTGGGATGTCATCGTCAATACAGAAACATAAGCATAAACATAACTTACATTCATTATCACTAATGATTTATATATCCTTTAATCTCTCAGTGTAATGTGACTTCATACCAACACATGTGCTATAAATAAAATGAGTGGGTCAGGTTGGGAAACCTGGTAAGTACATAGGGTTTTCAACCCACAATAATATAATTATTAAGCAATTAACCGAATTACACATCCTCATTATCTTCTTTATTCTTAAGGGTCCACCCTAAGAATAAGTTATTTCTCATTCATTCATTCCTAAGGATTATCCTAAGGAATAGGTACGAAGTCCATCATTGTCAATGACACAACTGTTAAGCACAACTGCTAGCTCTATCACTTAGGCGCAACTGCCATAATTGTGATATTCTATATGAGGCGCATCTGCCAGTATTATCCTTCGAGCACAGCTGCTAGGGTTATATCGTTTATTGACAGTATCATTTTTGAGAGTCCACTTGCAATACATGTCAATGGATTTTTAGAGTACACCGGTGAACACATCGTTCACAACACCTACAAGTTGCGAGTCTGCTAGTGTTTCCACTGGACTGTCTAGAATAGTCCGTGGTTATCATCCATACTCTGCTAGATGATGGGGCAAACATTTGGGAACAAGGCTTCTCACATCGTCCACCTCTCACCCTTAACTCATGGTCTATATCACCTCTCAACTCATCATCTAACTCATATTTCATCTACCCATGTATTACCCAACATATTTTGTAGATATAAATACATATACAATTTAAATCATATAAAACTTGTCTAAACCGTTCATCCAACATAGATAGAAAGTATATAGATAATATGCACACATAACACATAGTTTATATAAAATACTTCATATCTATGTGTAAGATGAAAGAGACCATGCACTCACTTGAAAAGGTGGTGATTCCGAACTCAGACAACCCTTCGCTTCTTAAAATAATTTCATTCGACGAAACAACGGGTTTTATAGAAAACCAGGCTTTGCTTGGAGAAGTGTTCCCGAGCTGAAAATCTCTTCTTCTCGGAGTCGTCGAGCACTCCGGGGCTTCCGCCTCGTGCTGGGGAGGTTCCCTAGGCTTTTCGGGGGGTTTCGGGGCTAGAGAGAGGTTCTAGAAAGAGAGAGAGAATAAAGAGAAGAAAGAATGGGAAAGGTGTGAAAAAAATGAGGGTGGAAGGGGTTGTATTTATAGGGTGAAATATGGCTGAAATTGGTGCCACATGTCACCATCTAGTGGCAAGCCTTGGGGAGAAAACAATGGCCAAGATTGTGCCACGTCACCTTTTTGCGGCAGCACCCTGCCGATTTCTAAAATCCGTAACTTTCACATACGGCCTCCATTTTTGACGTTCTTTATATCCACGCGTAGGTAAAAATAAGATCTACAACTTTCATTTTGACTTCGTCGGCTAATTCTCGACGATCTTAAATTTAACAGTACGAGGAGATTATATTGTTAATTGTCCGCGTAAAATTCATAACTTCTACTTACGGACTCTGTTTTTGTCTGTATTTTTTCTGTTGAGTTCCTGTTAATGAGACATTCAATTCTCATTTAGGCCGCGTAGGTCAAAAACCGCTCGATCTAAAATTCGAGTTTCAAGTTGTGCACTACTAAGCCAAATCTTAGAAAATTCATAACTTCCTCATACGAAGTCAGATTTGGGCGTTCTTTTTTTTTTTTGTATGTTCTCGGTTTAACATATAATACAACTTTTGTTTAGGTTTCTAAGGCTAAAAAGTCCTCCATCGTAAATTTACTATTTACGTCTCCCGGTGTCGTGCCGGTTTTGCCGTAAAACTTTGACGGACCATAACTTATTCGTTTTAACTCGGATTTCAACGTTCTTTATATGTACAGAACGTTCTAGGGAAACATTATTGAGCGTTTGGCTAAGGATAATGTGGAGGGATTGGGCCCAATTGGAAATTGGGCCATATGTTGGATTGTTTAACTTTTGGGCCAATAGATTGTGATTTAGGGTTTTATTCTTGGACCAAGTTATGATAAGGGTAAAATAGTCTCTTTACCCCAAGTAGGGATTTTTGGTTATGAGGTAGATCCCAAATGTTAATCAGCTTTTATTTGGTAATTGATAGCTCGGGAAGCTGTAGGACCTGCAGTCAAGGATCATTCGTTTTGTTCAGCTTTTCGAGGTGAGTTTTCCTCACCGGGTTTAGTGGGTCTAAGGCACCAAGGACGAACCTTATTGATTAAGTTGATATACTCGTTGTTTGTATGATACTTGTATGTGCTTGTATATGTATGCTCATCGGGCGGGGCCTGTATTGCGAGTGTGGGCGGGTCCCATATCTCTTTGGGTGGGGCCCGTTATGCGAGTGTGGGCGGGGCCCGTATCTCATTGGGCAGGGCCCGTTATGTGAGTGTGGGTGGGGTCTGTATCTCTTTGGGCGCTGCTCGTTATGTGTTATGTTGGTATGTGGTATTTTGGGAAACTTACTAAACTTTGTGCTTACGGTTTCAGTTTACGTTTCAGGTACTTCCGGTTCCAAGCGGAAGAGCTCAGGCTGACTGTATCGCACACACTATGAAGATTTCGCATTTCATATTTACTTTGATTTAGAGACATTTAATACATTGATTTGATAAGATGTATAGATGATTGAAATTACTATTTTTATCTATTATAAAAATAAAATTTTTAGGACCATAGTTTTGGATGTTATAATCTTACCATAAATTTGGTTGGAATCAATTTCTTCACGGTGTGCTTGGATGGATCACATTGTGAGAACCATTTATGTAATCTCAACAATAGATTGAAGCTCGATGAGAAAAAGGTTTTGTGATTAGGGTTTTTTGATTTTCACATCGTCAAAAGTGGTTGAAGGAATATGTGTAGCCAACTGAAAATTAGGGATGATATACACAAATAGCTTGTATTACTCTCAAATAGCGGTAATGTGAAATATAGGTGAAAAGACAAAATTACCTTCACATGAAGGACACATGCTACACTAAAAAAAAAATAGACGACAAAACCAAAGAACCATACAACTTAAACTTATCCACAATTTTTGAATAAACAAACCAATTTTACGGTTTTGTTTGCAAAGCTATTTTTAAATTCCCCAACATTTAAAAAAAAAAAAAAAAAAAGTTCAATAAGCTTTCGTTCGTATGCTTCGCCGGACAAGAAAATACACAGCATCCTCCATTCTTCTCTCGTCGCCTCCTCAGGCGATTCCCGATTACTCGCCGCCCACTTCCGTCGCCGGATACCGTCGGACACCACAGATTCGATTCAGGTGCTTTCGTTCAACTGTGCCTACTCTCGATTTTCCTTTTTCCCCTGTTGACAGCATTTTTAAATAAGCTTAGCCAAACACCCTCTTAGACGGTGTGGTTAGATTTTGAAAAAACAAAAGAAAGCAAAAATGGCGAAAGGAGGAGGCGGGCAAAACCTTCCAGCAGATGTAACCCAGTTGATCGACCAATTGGAGCGTCACTGCTTAGCTCCCGATGGATCTCTCGTCTCCAAATCTGTATACAACGATCTCCAACTTGTACGATCCATTCTACTCTCATTGTTCGATACAATTTCTCGATTTGGGTTTAATTTACTCTGTTTTTGATTCACCTTTCAGGCGCGAGAGGAAATGTCGAGAGAAAGACTACGTTATTTGGAAGCCATGGTAATTTCTTGCTACCTCACATCTATCAAATTAGGGTTTTTGTGTGTGGTAATTTCTTACTGATTATAATATCCGAGGGAAATTTTATCGGTGATAGTGATTTAAAATGCAGGCTATATACTGCGAAGCAATTGGTATGGTTGAAGATCATCAACAGGCTGTTTCAGTAGCCAATCTTGGAGGCATTCGAGAGACACACTCCTCCAATCTTGGCCTAAAGAATTCTCCTGAGGTCTGATTTCAAAATCTTTTAGGGTTTCATGAAATATATTTAATTTGATGATATTGTTTCAGGTATACGAAGCACTTGAACATCGATTAGTTGTTGCAGAAGCTGCTCAGAGACTTAGACTTCCATTAATTTCAAAAGATGGTGAAGTTCATGAGGAAGAAATTGAGAAATTGAGTGGTTTTTCAAGTAACTACACAAACATTACCCCTGAATCTACAGTTGGTGGTGTTCCTAATCGCTTTCTTGGAATAACACCTGCTTATTTATGGCAAAGTCAGGTCCAACATGCACCATTACCTATGGTAATTGACTAATTTCACCCTGTATTTTTTTCCCCTCATTTTGCTATTTGTTTAGTTTTTCTTTTTTCTTTTTTGTTATATAATATTTGATCAATTGTTGTAGGATGTGGGAGAATATCAAATGCCTCTTCTTCGTGAGATTGAGATCCGTTTAAAGGCTAAATGTGACAAGTTGGCTGATGCTTTTATTGATGATTTGGGTTAGTTTTGATGTAGTGCATCGATGTATAAGGATAAATTAATCAAATTTAGGACATATGTATAATCTTTTATATCGTTTTCTTTCAATCATATTAGTTTATTGAAGAATCTTGTGTTACAGATTCATCAACAGGAAGTCAAAATTCAACTGCAAGGCTTCCAGAAAGGTCTGTAATTTTCATTTGCTTTTTATTTTTGATATTATGGAATAATATTGATTCTTTAAAAAACAGGGTAAAGATAATGATTGAGGAGATTGAAAGAGAAGAAACAGCTTTACGTGAAGATCTATATTCAGCTGACAGAAAGTTTGCAGAATATTACAATGTATTTATTTATTATTTAATAACTATAACTATTTTATTTGTGATATTGTAATGTTTTTATTTTTATTGGCTTACTTGAATTCACATTTGTTTGAAAGGTGTTGGAGCAGATACTTGGTGTGCTTATTAAGCTTGTGAAAGATTTGAAGTTACAACATCAACATAAATACGTGAGCACATGATGATTTTTTATTTTTATTTTTATTTTAATTTTAATTTATAATAAACAAAATCTATATGAAAATTTTATTTTGTAGGATGAACTGCAGAAGACTTGGTTGTGCAAAAGGTGTGAAACAATGAGCGCCAAATTGAGGTTTGTGTTTTTACCTATCACTTTGTTGAAAAGACGAAAACGCCCTCCTCTCATTTTGTTTTGTTCAGAGTTTTGGAGCATATTCTTCTGCTTGAGACTTATACACAGGAATCAGTCCCAGCATTGCATAAGATAAGGTAAGGTATTGTAAATTGTGTTTTCTTGAATTGTTTTTCTCTCTGTGATTTTGAAAAGGGCGTTTTCGTAATTCTACAGGAAATATCTCGTTGAAGCCACAGAAGAAGCTTCACTTGCATACAACAAAGCTGTACTACGTTATTGTTATTTCTTGCATCATTTTCATATTTATCAATCTCTTGTATGTGAAAAAGACGATAATGCCCTCATGAATTGGGATGATTAATACTGATTTGTATTGTAGGTGACACGGCTTAGAGAATATCAAGGTGTTGACCCCCATTTTGACACAATCGCAAGGCAATATCAAGAAATAGTGAAGGTATAGAATTTTGGTGAATTTAATTAATAAAATAAAAATGTTAAATATGATGTAATTTTTTCAGAAACTGGAGAATATGCAATGGACAATTCACCAAGTGGAAATGGATCTCAACCGATTACCCAGTTCTTGAAATGAATAATTCGGTAATTTGCTCAATCTTATTTATTATTATTATTATTTTTTTCTTTCTAAATTAACTATTTTGATCCGGTCAAAATGGTAAATTTGGAAAAATGTTTGTAATTTTTCCAAATTAACCAGTTTGACCTTTATATTATATTAGGTTTCATTGGTAATTGTAAATTGTAATTTTCTTATATCAGATTTCACCTGTAATGTAATTGTTCAATCAGGTCAAATTAAATGGTTAATTTGGAAAATTGTATTTTTTTTTTCCAATCAAACAATAAAAGTAATATGATCAGGTCAAACAGGTGAAAGATGCCCATTTGAGTTGATGTTTGGAGTATGGATTTGTGGGTTTTGTGTAAATGTGTGTAAAGAAATATGGAAGAAAGTAAAGAATTCAGATGGAGTGGCATTCTTTAGAAAGAAAAAATGGGAAGAAGGAAAGAAATATTTGTTGTGAGATTCACGCATTCTCTTAATGGACTCTTGAGATATTTGATAAAGTTGTTGAGAATGAGTTCTGTTTGTTGTGTATTCAAGATTTTCAAATGCAAAAGTGGATTTTTTTTAGTAGAAAAGCTTATCAAAGTTGCATTATTTTTTATTTAATAGTGTAATAGTCTTGATCTAAAATTGACATGAATAGTACCTAAGATTGTAGGTTGTACATAGGATTGTAAGATTGTACAATGATATGATCCAAACATATTTATTGTTTTGAAATTTGTCCGTGTCTAAAAGGGTAAATTCTATGGTTTTTCTTAACATTAGAAATTAATCTCACATATTACTCTAGTAGTTCGATGCAAACTTAAAAAATTGTCCTTTCTACTTAAAGTCGAGTCTCAATATTCGTCTATTAAGTTCACATATCACACGAATACCGTGATTTAATGGTATTTGACAAATATTGTTATTTTATGTGAGATTAATAGTTGTATAATCTTACGATTCTATGTTCAACCTACAATCTTAGGTTACGATCTTAACAATTTGTCTTTTTCTACATGATCCTAGGTGACTCTGTGTGATATGTGAACTTAATAGATGAATATTGAGACTCAATTTTGAGTAGAAAGGACAAATTTTTAAGTCAATGCATCGAATTACCGGAATAATATGTGAGATTAATAGTTTTTGACAAATACCTTGATTTAATGGTTGTTGACAAATACTGTTATTTTATGCATCATGTTTTGATTTCGTTGCAATGGTTAAAAAGTTTTTTCATAAAAGAAAATTGTATTATAGAAGAGGAAAATAATATCCGTGCATGATAAGGATTATATTTTAGATAGTTATATTGAAGTTTATATATTAATTTTAGTTTATCATATCTTTCAAACTTTATATAACTTGTGAATAGGTAGACATGCATTAAATTTGATTATAAATGCTAATAGTGCTGGTAGTCGGGCATCTTTTGGCCATAGATGGGTTAGTACCGACGGTTAGAAGTGTTTAAAGTACCCATCTGAAAAAAATTGTGTGGTTTTAGAGATGAGAGAGAGAGATGGAAGAAGTTTTTCAATATATTTCATTGATCGGATCTTACAATACTTATACAACAAATAAAATAACTATCTATCAGCTATTTTAGGATCTGATAATATTTACACAACAAACTACAGTTATCTAAATATCCTTATCCAGTTAAGCTCTCGCCAACACTCCCCCTCAAGATGGAGAATGGATATCTATTATTCCCAGCTTGTCCAGAATGCTTTCGAAAATCTTCCCACACACAACTTTGGTCAACATGTCAGCTAGTTGCTCTTTTGATGCTACATGTGGCAATTCCACTGTTCTTTTCTCAAGATGATCTTTAATGAAGTGTCTATCAATCTCCACATGCTTCGTTCGGTCATGTTGTACTGGGTTGTTTGCAATCTTGACTGCAGATTTATTATCACAATAGAGTAACATAGGCTTACTCAAGTATATACCCAGATCTAGCAATATTCTTCTTAACCACAATAGTTCACATATTCCATGTACCATTCCACGAAATTCAGCTTCCACACTTGATCTAGCTACCACCTTCTATTTTTTACTTCTCCAAGTCACTAAACTACCCCCCACAAACGTGAAGTATCCTAAGGTTGACTTGCCATCCGTCCTATCTCCACCCTAATCGGCATCTTGTATCTAGCCACCTCCAATTCGGTATTATGTTCAGCATTCTTTCCAAAAAACAATCCCTTTCCAGGAGATGCCTTAAGATATCTTAATATCATATGTACAACATTCATGTGTTCTTCACCCGAAGCATGCATAAACCGGCTAACAACACTCACAGCATAGGCAATATCCGGCCTAGTGTGAGCTAGATAAATGAGTTTACCCACCAATTTTTGATACCTCTCTTTGTTAGCCGACACCTGGTTTTCCATAATAGAAAGATTATGGTTAGTTTCGATAGGGGTATTTATCGGTTTACAATCTAGCATTCGCGTTTCTGTTAGTAGATCCAAGACATACTTTCGTTGACACAGATTTATTCCAGCTTTAGATCGTGAAACCTCAATACCTAAGAAGTACTTAAGGTGTCCGAGGTCTTTTAGTTCAAATTCAGTGGCGAGAACTTTTTGTAGATTTGATATTTCTTCAGAGTCATTCCTAGTAATCACCATATCATCTACATACACTATGAGTGCTGTCACTTTCTGTCCTCCACCCTTGACAAAGAGTGTCTGGTCCGCATCACTCTGTTTGAATCCGATTTTCTTCATGAAGGCGGAGAATCTTCCAAACCATGCTCTTGTAGATTGTTTCAACCCATACAATGCCCTTTTTAGTTTACATACTTTTCCATTGCTCACAATTCCTGGTGGTGGATCCATGTACACTTCTTCCTCCAAGTATCCGTTTAAGAAAGCATTTTTTACATCAAATTGTTTCAAGGGCCAGTCTCTGTTTGCAGCAATAGATATTAGGATTCGAATAGTCTTCATCTTTGCCACTGGTGCAAATGTGTCCCCATAATCAATACCATATTTCTGTGTGTACCCCTTGGCTACGAGCCTAGCCTTGTACCGGTCTATGTTGCCCTTTTCATCAAGCTTTACATTATAAATTCACCTGCACCCAACAGTCTTTTTATTTTTTTTTGGCAAATTCACTAATTCCCACGTTTTATTCTTTGGTAGTGCCTCCATTTCTTCATTCATTGCTTTCTTCCATTTTTCGTCTTTAAGGGCTTCTTGTACATCTCTTAGAATGTTGATAGTTGAAATACATTCGAATCTTAGTGCATATGTATCCGACAGTCGGTGATGAGAAACAAAGTTTCCGATTGGATACTTTGCCTTTGCCTTCAAATACGGTACATATTGCTTCTTAGGTTGGTTCTGATTATTTCTCATAGGGTACCTTCATTCACTTCCAGCCTCCTCCTCCTCGTTAATATACTGCAAAATAATATCAAAATAACCAGGGTCGGGGTCAACCTCTGGACTGTTAGTGGTGTTTCTCATCTCCGGTTCCGGGATTTCCAGTTCCGCATCATCTTCCCTTCCTTCCAGATCTGGTAACTCGACTTGGGTACTGGACTGTGGCTCGGTACTGGTACTAGATGTATAAACGTGAGCATGTGCTGTGTTGTCATGTGTTGAGTCTCCACTGCCTTCTTCCTCGACATCGACATCATGCACTACATGTTCTATGTTACACATTTCCAATACGTCATGTATTTTTTTTTTTCCTTTTTCTTGTCTCTCCCCCTGAAGAGAGCATGCATGACCAAAAAATGGAATGGTTTCATGAAATGCTACGTCACGTGTAACATGGACTTTGTTTTCAACTGGGTCAAAGCACCGGTAGCCTTTCTTGGCATCCACATACCCGAGGAACATGCACCGGACAGATTTTGGTTCTAACTTCCCTATGTTTTGATGTACATAAGTTGTGCATCTAAATATTCGAGGCTCAAGACCTCACTGATTTGTATCTTGGTTAGTTCACATAGTGTTTGCAGTGGCGTCTTGAATTCCAATACCCTGGATGGTGTGCGATTGACAAGGTACGCTGCGGATCTCAATGCCTCACCCCAAAACTTCCAAGGAACTTCCATGTCAAAGAGGGAGGCTCTAACAATTTCCATTAGTTGCCTGTTTCGTCTCTCGGCAAGGCCATTTTGCTGTGGTGACCTTGCACAAGAAGTTTGATGGTGAATCAACTTTTCTTTGCAAAATGTTTTCATCTGGTAATTTATATACTCTCCCCCATTGTCGGATTGGAGTATATGAATTTCCGTTTGGTATATAGTTTTAATCATATGGTATAGTTCTTTAAAAGCTTTTACTACTTCTCCTTTGGTTTTAAGGAGTGATACCCACACCATACAAGTACATTCATCAATGAAAGTTACAAAATACTTAGCACCATCAGGAGTAAGTACTTGGGCAGGCCCCCATACATCCGAATGAATCTTCATAAAAGGAATGGTAGATTTATTATCACTTGATGAATAAGAAATTTTCGTGTTTGTAGCCAACTTACAAACACCACACTTAAAATCATGATCCGTTTCATTCAAAAACAAATTAGGTTTAAGTTTTCTAAGGTATGTGAAAGATAAATTCCCTAGTCTTCGATGCCAAAGCATTGCAACATACTTATTTACTTGAGCTACCCCTGCATGATACGCTTGACTTTGATGATTTTCTTCAAGGTAATACAGCCTGCCACGTCTAGTACCATAGCCAAGAGTCCGGTGAGTTACCAAGTCTTGAAATACACAGTCATGTTTCCAAAAGATAACATAACAGTTTAGAGCTTCAGTGATTTGACTAACGGACAATAAGTTTGATGATAGAGAAGGGACTACAAGGACAAAATCCAAATCCATAGAATCCGTGACTTTTACTGTACCCTTACCAATCACTGGTTCTATTTCACCACTTGCAGTTCGGATATTTGTTTGTTTTAGAGTGTGATGTGTAATTAATTTGGATAGATCATTTGTCATATGATCGGTAGCTCCTGTATCAATAATCCATTTATCACTTTGATCAATTTTAGTAGTGTATGACATACCCGTATTTTCCGAAGTCTGAGCTGCCATGGGTGTTGTTGTTTCCTTAGTCTGGGGAGACTTAACCACAGCCGCTTGACCAATCTTCTTCCTTGGTTTCTTGGTGAAATCCCACCATTCCGGGTAGCCTATGAGCTCATTACACTTTGCTTTTGAATGTCCATCTTCACCACAGTAGGTACATGTGAACATGTTCCCTTTGTTGCTCTTTCCTTTGTTTTGATTCCGATTTCGTGCAACCATGTGGACTATGCTATCCGATTATGGCTTGGATTCTTCCATGGACTGTCGCTGAGTGTAGTCCTTATGGATGTATGCATATGAGGTCTCGAGATCCAAAGCTGGATCCTTCCTCAGAATTTCGCTCCTTGCCTGATTGAATTCTTGATCTAATCCGGCTAGGAAGATGTGGACCCTAAACCGAGATAGGGTTTTGTTTACTGCCACCGTCTCAGCCACAATCGCTTCTTCAGTTACCAAACGGGCATTAATCTCTTGAAAGATGCTGATCAATTCATTGTAGTATGTGGGTAGGTTTCTACCATTCTGTCGGGTTGTGAAGGACTTGTGATTTAGTTCAAAGAGCTAGGTTTCGTCAGACCCATCGTAAAACGTCTTCTTCACCGCCTCCCATATTTCTGCAGTCGTTTGGAGACGTATGAATCGGCGCATTAGGTTTGGGTTCATTGAGTCAATGA